GTTGAGACCCGCGGGCGCTGGGGACCCGGCGCCAGTTGGGGAGCGTGGAGTTTTGAGGGAAGGGGAGTTGTCAAAAGGAGGCCGAGGGTAATAAGGCAGACGCCGCGGAGAAGCGAGGGGCCCCGCCCCTCTGCCATAGCGGCCTCCCGGCTCCGCCTCTTCCTTTACAGCCTCCCGCCCTCCCCTGCCTTCCGGCCAGAGATCGGGCCGGGCCCTACCGGCCCCTTCGGGAGTAACTCTGAGCCGTGGCCTCAGGGGAGAGGAGATGCCCAATCCCTTCTTGGCACTGTGTCCGAAAGAAAAGGGCTAGAACCGGCTTCGGACCCGGCTGGACTGGGCAGAAGGCGGTCCCTGCTTCGCGGCAGCCAGCAAAACCTCTCATCTGAGGACCGCGGATCAGAGCGACTTTCCCGCAGCACAGGGAATGTTATTCTTACCCAGAAAGTCCAGGGCTCCAGTTCAAAAGGTTTTCCTATGTACTCAGATAGGGTCCTCGCTGCTTTAAGCATATCAAGCAAGAGCAAGTCCTGGGCTCGGAGTTGGGAGACCCGGGTTTTAATCCTGGCTCTGAAATACCACATCCTCTTTTTTTTTTTTTTTTAAGGTGGGGAAGGTAATTAAGTTTATTTATTTATTGAGGAAGTACTGGGGATTGAGCCCAGGACCTTGTGCATGCTCGCATCCCCTTTGGCAGGAGTGAGGGCTGGTGGAAAGACTGTGAGGTTACCGACGCGGGGGGTTGCGGGGGGGGACGACATTCTCCTTAAATACAGCTTTGGGTGTGCCACTCAACCCCAGTGAGCCTCAGTTTCCACATCCATAAAATGGCGATGGTAATTACACAGGCCTCCCAGGGTATAATGAGATCTCTGGTGTAAAAACTCAGGAAATTTTTATTACTCACCTCTCTAGGGCGTATTTATCTCATGGGAAACTAGAGTAAGACTAATGTCCTGCCAATTCAGAGTCCGTGATTTCTCGTAAAGGGGTTGTTGAAAAGTGAGGCCCGCAATTAGCTGAGAGGGAGAGCTCACTGGTTTTGTTTTGTTTTCACTTGGTTTACCTGTAAACTAAGTGTAGGCTACACGTCTGTGGTCGCTGGGGCTAGAGCTTGACTCGAGAGAGGAAAGGAAGAATGGAAGCCTGGTGAAGAGGCAGAGGTGGGTTACGAGCTTTTCTGTTCCCAACTCTCTTGTGCATGTGGGTGGGAAGTGAAGGAAGGGGAAAAGTGAATTCACCGTAGAATAGAGAACCAGCGGCCATGTGAGGTTGGTTGTGCCTGTTTCTACGATGCCTCTCGATTCAGCGAGTCAGATATTGGGAATATTGGGTAGATTAACAAACTATCGCTGTTCTCTGGGGATTTCAAAAGCGTGCCTTTGAACTGAATTTTGATGAGCAAACCGGTGTGGCGTTGGCGGCCCCTCCCTTACTTCAGGCCTCCTGGTGTTGGAGTAAGCAACAGGCGCCCCCTTGTGCTGAGGAAAGAGAACTGTTGCTTAAGGCCAGTTTTCTAGAGAAATATTTTTTTGTGGCTTCTATGACTTTGTTGTTTTTGCTCTCAAAGATATGGTGGGAGGTATACTTGGAGCAGTGATTTCATATCTAGAGCCCATGAACTGGTGAAGCCATATCCATCCAGTTCCTGCTGCTTCCACTCAATCAGAACACAGGCTTAAAATCCCTATAATACTAGGCCCTGAGGGTATAGTTGGGAGCAAGCTAAACAAAGTCTGTGCCCTCACAAAAAACTTTTCAAATAAGGCAGAGTGTAATGAGAGCATATCACATAGTCTAGTGAGGGTCAGAGAAGTATTCCAGAAACAAGTGATACCTAAAGGCTAGATAGGTGTTAGTCAGATAAGAGAAGAAAGAAAAGTCTTCCAGCCCTGCCTATTAATTTCTCAGTTTAAATATTTTTTCTTTTAGGGATAGCTCTTCACCCCAAATTGATAAGCTGCCTCTGATGCTGTTGCCCTCCCTTCTGATTTTCGATTGGTTAGGAGCCATTGCTACTTCTTTGAGCCCAAGGGATTATTTTCAAAAAAAAAAAAAGCCTTAAAGTACATTCTTTTCCTCCAGAAGGCTTTGCAATTGTTTATACATTGCTGCCATTCCAACAAAGAGATGGGAAATAACAATTTTCTCCATCCCTAGTAGTCGATTCTATCTTCCCCTTAAGTTTGTTTTAGCAATGTGAGCTGCCTGAAGTCCTGCTGAGTAGTGGTTTTCTTTTCCTTCTCCACTTAATTTAACAGACCAGCTGAACACACATCAGAGAGCTTAACTAGAGTGTGTAGTCATTATGGTCTTGCAGTTCAGTTCTATGCCTCACTTTTGGGACTCTGGTTTGGGACCTAGTTTATTATTCTGGGCAAAAGGAAAAGGGTGCACATCAAATAATAGCAACCACAGTATGGATTTGGTAGCACTTCTTCACACTTTAGTCCATCTCACCATCATGACAGTTTTGAGACAGGCAAAATAGTCTGATCCCATTTTATATATAAAGAACTGAGGCTCAGAAGGACCAAATGACAACTTGCAGGACTTGAACCCAGGTCTTTAGTTCCTGCACAGGGGCACTAAACAAGCTTTAAAAGGTTTTCTGTGAGGTTAGCTTTCCAGCTTCATCCCTATCTGGGTGAGACTTTCCCCATAAGAATCTAGTGCTTTAGAATGACACCAAGTGGTCCCATCTGTCTTCAAGATACTTTTCTCTCATCTGGGCAGTTAGGTGTTTAAGTTTGCTGTAATAATGCTGAAGAGGGTGTGGGTTTCCATGAAGAATGCTTTCAGGAGTTTACTTTCTGCCTGTGTATGACATTTCCTCCTTGGGTTTTGGAATTTAGAAGCCTGAGGGAGCTCAGTCCTGGTAGCGGCACCCCTGAATTCCTGGTGGTGAGAGTATGTGGCCCTTGGACCCATCCCGGAAAGAGGTGCTGGGGTTTGCAGTCAGCTGCCGTGTCCTGACTCTGGTGCTGCAGGTCAGTCTCTGATCTTTTATCCTGAACACGCCATTGCCACCTGACTGGACTGGGAGCTCAGAATAGACCTCACTTCTTCCCACTTCCCAGATGTGCCCCTCCATGTGGTTGGAGCCATAGAGTTCTAGGCCTGAAAAGTGGATAGGACTCTTAGAAGTTATCTGTTAGTCCCTTATTTTGCACATGAAGCAGCTGAGGCCCAAAAACATTAAATGGTTTCCTTAAAGTCACGAGGCAAGTTAGAGAAGAGCCGGGATCAGACCCTAGGTTTCCTTACTCCTGGGCTAGAGGTCTTTCCAACAGACCATGATGTTCTGTAACCAGAGATGCCTTTAGGGTATGACAGCTCAAAGCATTGCCCTGGTCCCTTGACCAGGAGACTGAGCACTGTTGTTGGTGACTTGAGTGGGAGAAAGGTGGCCTGTCCTGAGACCGTCTGTGTGTATTCACTTAGTCAGCAGTGTCTCCTACGCTTCCCTCAGCTGTCTCCCTTGCTGTCTTAGCCTACACAAGCCCCAGAATGTATTTGCCCTTTGCAACTCCCTTTACCCTGCAAGGCTGCCCTTGATACATATTTTAATCAAATTTCACATATATATGAATTATATACAATGCCAACACAGGGCCCAGTTCTTAGTAGGTCCTCAATGTGTGTTATTGTTGACTGTATGTCAACACTCTAGGCATGTTCTATTAGTGTATTATGTGTGCCTTTTATCACAGGCACGTTCTCTCTCAGGCTCGTAGCTAGTTCCTTTGTGGAAAACTCTTCTCCTCTCTCCTCCCCAGCTACATGAGGCATAACAGGCTCTGCTAGGTCCCAGGTTTAGTTCAAAGTGTCTTCAACTTGGAGACCAGGGCTGTTATCTGTCTGTCCCACTTGTTTTCACTGTTCAAAGTGGCCTGATAAAGAAACTGACCAAAAAGAGAAAGAGCCTTAAAAATGAGGTTATATTCCTGTTGCCAGGCTATGAAAACTGACTTGATGATGGCTTTAAACCAGTATCAGCTGAGTGATTGGCAGAACTAACAGAACAGTATTCTGATTTGGCATCTGGGATAGGGTACCAGGACAGCTGGGTTCTAATTCAGGTGGTGATTTGGAAACAGGTATGTTTCCTCTGTATTTCACTCAGCCACCAAATTTATTAAGTTCCTACTCTGTTCAAAGAACTAAGCTAGGTGGGAGTATAAAAAGTCACGATCTCTTTTCCCTTAAGGAGTTGACAATCTAATGGGAAAAAAAGACGTTTAATAATAATGCTATTTTGTTACCTTCCCTCCCCTTCTTGCAGCTTTAAAGCTCGTGCCATCAGGTTATATCCCCAGTTACCCTTCACTGTTGCTGTCATCTCTGTTAGTGACAGCTCATTCCTTCAAGTTTTAGCTCCTGATTCACTGTTGCTTTTTCCAGCACTACTGTTTATTTCTTGGTGGTTTCAATATTAATAAAGCTGATACATCTGACACTGTCTCCTGTCTTTCCAGCTCACTCCCTCTAGCACCCCAGTTCCGACAATTCTTCCCCTCCCTCAGGACTTATAATCCATTGACTCCACCATCATTTCACTGTCCCTCACCCACTCATGGCTTCAGCTCCCCTTCTTACCCAGCTTAGATTCCACGGTCAAGTACAGCTCACTTGCTCCCTTCTCCCTATGTCTCATTCACAAGATAAAAGCCCAACATTGGTCAAATTCAATTCTTTGTCTACTCCACACCTGCATCTGCCCAGAGAAAAGCACACAACTGTGCTAACTAGTCTCTTTCTATTCAATATCATTAACCCAAGTGAGTCCTTAGTGCTACCTGGCTATCTTAGTGTTTTTCCCTGGTCCAGTCACCCTCCCATTCTCTCAAATTTTTCTGTGCATCAGAATCACCTGGGAGAGCTTAAAAACAATCTAAATGCCCAGGCTGTACCCCAAAGTGGTTAAATCATTAATGCCTGAGGGTGGAGGGGACCCAGGCATCAGTATTTTTGAAACTCCTTGGGTAATTCCAGTGCAAAGCCTATTTTGAGAACTAGGCTAATAGATGACTTATTTGACACGTTTTCCTTTTTGCTCAAGTCTCTAACACCTTTTCCCCAACTTGTTTTCCTGAGTGAAAATTCAGAAAAATAGAAGTAATCAGAAGCAACCTTCCTCATACTCCCGCCACATCTATCAGCATACCTACATCTGCATCTCTGTGCCTTCACTGCTGAAGGTTAGATGCAGTGTCTGTCTCTTCTAAGGACAACTCCTCCTTTGCAGCAGATTCCTTCCCTTTTGCCTGCTCCAGAAATTCTTCCCCTTTTCTCCCACATACTCAGTGGTTTCCTTTCCACTGTATTATTTTCATTGGCAAGCAAATACTTACCTTTCACTTAAAAAAAAACAAAAGATTTCTCTTGGTCCCACAATGTCATTCACCTGCTACCCCATTTCTCTGTTCCCCCTTACAGCAAAACTCCAAATAGTTGTTTGTATGTACTGTTTCTCTTCTCTGTTGAACCCAGTCCAGGCAGTCTTCTCTCTCCTCCACTCCACTGAAATAGCTCTTGTCAAAGCCACCACTGACCTTCACATTGCTAAATCCAGTGGTCAGTTTTCAGTCACCATCTGACTTGACCTATCAGCAGCATTTAACAAAGCCAATCACTCCCTTGCTTCACTTGGTTCTGACACAGCATGCTTTCCTGGTTTTCTTCCTACCTCACCAGCTCTTCCTTCTTTACCTTTATTGCTAGATCCTCACTCTCTTTTGAGCCTCTAAATGTTGGCACATCCAGGGCCCAGTTCTCAGATCTCTTCTCTATGTGTATTTCCTCCCTAGGTGATCTCATTCAGTCTCACAGCTTTTAATATCACCCATGCACTTATGACTCCCAAACTTATATCTCCAGCCCTGATTGCTCTTCTGACCCTCAGACTCCTATGTCTCACTGCTTCAGTGACCTCTGCACTGGAATATCCAACTCAACTGAACTCATGATTCTTCCCCAAAAAGTCTGTTCTTCCTCACTTTATTAAATGGTAATTCTTCCACTTGCTCAACAAAAATCCTAGTTCTCCTTCATCCCACAGGCTCTCTTCAATGCCGTCATCCCAGACCATCGTGCAGAAGCCTTTTCTCCTCCTCGCCTCGCCCCCTCAGGCTCTGTGGACCAACTTGTGGAAGGTCTCCTGGGTGGCCTATCTCACTGGGATGCTGAACACTTCCTGTTCATTGCCGAGCATGGCTACCTGTATGAACACAACTTTGCCTTCTTCCCTGGTTTCCCCCTGGCCCTGTTGGTGGGGACTGAATTACTGAGACCCCTCTGGGGGTTACTGAACCTACGGAGTTGCCTGCTAATCTCAGTAGCATTGCTTAATTCCTTGTTCTCCGTGCTGGCCACACTTGCACTTCACGACCTGGGCTGTCTGGTTTTGCACTGTCCCCGCCAGGCTTTTTACGGAGCAATGCTCTTCTGCCTCAGCCCCGCCAATGTCTTCCTGGCAGCTGGTTACTCAGAAGCTTTGTTTGCCCTCCTGACATTCAGCGCCATGGGGCAGCTGGAAAAGGGCCGAAGCTGGACTAGTGGACTCCTCTTTGCCCTTGCCACTGGTGTACGCTCCAACGGGCTGGTCAGCATTGGCTTCCTTGTGCATTCTCAGTGCCGAGACTTTTTCTCTTCTCTCATGATGCGGAATCCTCTAAGACAGCTCTTGAAGCTAATGGGCTCTGTGTTCCTGTCAGTGCTCACACTTGGCCTTCCCTTTGCTCTCTTTCAATATTACGCCTATACCCAGTTCTGTCTCCCGGGCTCAGCCCGCCCTATCCCTAAGCCCTTGCTGCAATTAGCTGCGGACAAGGGCTACCGGATCGCAGAGGGAAATGAGCCACCTTGGTGCTCCTGGAAACTTCCCCTAATATACAGCTACATCCAGGATACCTACTGGAATGTTGGCTTTTTGAGATACTATGAACTCAAGCAAGTGCCCAATTTTCTACTGGCTGCACCAATGGCTATACTGGTTGCCTGGGCAACTTGGACGTATGTGACCACCCACCCTTGGCTCTGCCTTACTCTTGGGATGCGAAGGAGCAAAAATAATAAGAACCTAGAGAAGCCTGATCCTGGATTCCTCAGTCCTCGGGTATTTGTGTACCTGGTCCACGCCGCAGCACTGCTGCTGTTTGGCAGTCTGTACATGCATGTTCAGGTGAGGTGGACTCCTCGCTGGGAAAAGGTGTACGTATAGGTAAATCCTTTGGTCAGGGACAGAGAAGACAGCCAGTTTCTCCTGTTTGAGTGACCTGTACCTAATTTATTCATTCAACAACTATTTGGGGGATTTTTTGGTGTCAGACACTGGGTCAGATCACTGAGGATAGAACATGAGTAAGATAAGATTGCTGCCCTCATGGTTCTAGTGGTCAGAATGGACAGACAGAGATTTAATGGCTAAAATTATAGTATAGTGGGGTGGAAGAGGGGTTGCTGTTTTGAAATAAGTATTGGGAAAGCATAGAGGAAAAAGTAGCTAACTGGCTGAAGGAGGCGAGGAGGGCATCATATTTAGGCTGGATCTTGAAGAGTAAGAAGGAATTCCATTTAAGAAGCAGAGGAAGAACATTCTGGGCAAATGGAGGGGCTTGTGCGAAGACACGAGAGTTGTGAAAAGACCTGATTTGACTGAATTATAGGAATAAATACAGAAGATAACTCAGACCTTTTCCTTGTGTACAACTATACCTGGAATGTCTGCTTGACTGTTGACTTTCTGAGGTACTCTGAGCTCTGGTAGGTGCTCCATTTTCAGATGAGGTATCTTGTGCAAGTTTGGTTGGTGTGGGGATAGAGACCCCATCTAGGAAGGGTTTGATCAGACATTCCTGGCTGTGGCCCCATTTTCAACATAACCCAGAGGAAGTCCTTTTGTCTCCATGCTGGCCACTCCTCAGCACTTTCTGCCTCTTGGAGGCGCACTTTGACTGTAAAGATCCCTGAGCTATGTGGTAAGAGGCACAGGGGAAATAGAAAGTAGCATTCCATGTTCATAGCTGGATTAGCTAGCAGAGTAAGTGCCAGCAAAGCTTAGAGTTTCCAGGATGGATGAGGGAGGCCACTTGGAGACTTGGCTATGAACCCCCAGAGGAGGGACAGTGTTGAGCCACAGGACCCCTGCCCCCTTGCCCTCTGCTTTGCCATCCTCATGGAATGAGGGAACCACTTCAAGTTCCCAAAGTCCCATGTTGCAGCATAAAGTTAGAGTCAAGGCCCTGGGCTAAAAGTATACACCACAGAATTTTTAGTATTGATTGGCCTATCGTGGTAATCAGTCTGTAGCTATGTTTCTTTCTAACATTGCAGTCACCTGGCTGGTGTCACACACAGCTTTAGAAGGCAGATCCTAAGCCCTGCTCAGTTTCTTTTCCAGTGTAATACATTTCTAGTCATGGAGGCATAGTTCACTGAGCAGCAGGGAAGCCCCAGGCTTGTCCAATTTAAGGCAGTGACATTCTAATAAATGTGTAAATTTCCCCCTCTTATGATCTCCAGGTTCTCACCAGGTTTTTATGCTCCTCTACTCCTATCGTGTACTGGTTTTCAGCTCACTTGCTTCAGGATCAAGAACCGCTGCTGAGATCTCTAGAGACTGTGCCTTGGAAGCCTCTTGCAGGGGACTCCCCACCAGGATGCCAGGTCCCCAGAAATTCTATCCTGGGACTCTTGTACAACTGGAAAACTTGTTCTCTGGTCACGCGATGCATTCTAGGCTACTTCCTGACTTACTGGCTCCTGGGACTGCTCCTGCATTGCAACTTCCTGCCTTGGACATGACCTGGAGTCTTAGGGGACAGGCTTGAAGCAGGTTTAACCAGGCGCTGAAAGTACAGATACACACTGGGGCTGCCTGTGCTGCCCTGGAATCCTTACTGTGGCAGTTAGAACCTCTCTCTCAGAAGGTTGGTTAGGCATGGGAGAAGTGTGAGCTTCTAGAGAACCCCTCTGGTCCTGGCTATGGCAAATTAATTTAGAGTAGTAATTATTTTCTCTGTAAATGTAGAAATCTTATTCCAAGTCTAAAGTACACCTGAATCTGCCTTGTCAGTCAATCATAGAAGAGAGATTCTTAAACTTACCACTGACCCACACATAAATCTAAATGTAGATTATTTAAGTGTAAATTTCATCAAAGGCTCTAGCTGACAAACTGGTGATAGTCCACACATGATGGTGGAGGCCTGAACAGTGCAGCAGCAGTAGTAGGTCAAATGGGACCATCTTTTCTAAATGGGATGTTGTTTCTGATGATTTTTTTTTTGGTGACTGTTACTTATTTGAAAAATCTTACAAAGATATGCAAATTAAACAACTTCTGGTTGTATCTGCAATGAATTACCTTTTTAAAAATAATACAAATTAAGGGCTGAGACCCCACCACATCCACATTTCATTTGGACGTTAAAGGCCAATTGATGCAAATAATAATAATAATACAAATTACCTGGAGAAAAGAGTCATGGTAAAAACAAATTTGCATGAGGAGGCAGGAGACCTGGATTCTGGTCCTCTCAGTAAAACCTCACTTACAGCCATGTGACTTTGGGAGTTTTTAGAGTCTTAGTTACCTCTTCTGAAATTAGAGGGATATTACATTATCCTAGTGGAGAAAATATCCAGCTCTCCTGTTTTCAGCACTTAGAAGAAACTCTCCCCATCCTCAGGTGCAACTCTGGAATAACTTAAAGTGAACTTTCCTTTGAATGAGGGGAAGCAGTGACACGTGGCAAATAAGGCTTCTTGTCTTATGTAAGCAACCCTACACTGGCAACTAATGGTCAGTTCGGTGACTGGTTTTCCTGCTCTGCCAAGTGCCTGTGCTTACTTGATTGGTAGGCAAGGGTCAGAAGGCCAACACAGCAGCATGAATTGATAAATTGTAGGTAAGTCGAATGAATGAATGAAATGATATCTGCCTGGCCCCCATTTGGTTATAGGCCCATCTCTGTAATAGTAGTAAAATCTTGACCCCAGCTGAGCTATTTTTTCTCATTCTTTGAGCCAGGTAAGAAGCTCTGCATCATCACCACTCATTCCTTATTTGAGCCAAAAATTCCAAAAAGCAGAAACTTCAAAATAGATGAGTAATCATAAGCAGCTTCTGGAGAGCCCTGAGAATTGGAATTTTGACATGCCTCCTCTGACCGTGACAGAAAGCTAAACTTGCCAGCTGAAGGGAAGCTCCTGGCTGAGCCCCAGCACCCTCCGTTGGAGCTCCTAGTCAGCCTGGCCAATAAGCATTTCCCATCCATCGCCCCAGCTTAAGCACAGCTGAGAGAATTTGGTCCGGAGTCAAATGCTTCTGAAAATGTACACACAGATCGGGACAGCCCTCTGCCTTCTGCCAAGACATCGAGTGCCCTTCTTGGCAAAAGATGATCACCCCTGCCCTAGTGTCCCTCCAGTTGGCAGAAACTGTTCCCTCCCTCCTCACCAACAGCTGCAAATCCTGGGACTTCCACCATGTGTGCAGAAAGAGCTGAGTTCCTGATTCAGCTCTTTATTGCAGAGGTAAGAGTGCTAGATTGCTCTCATGGATTCTCCTCTTTGCCTCTTTTTGGGGGATAATCAGGACTGATTGTTTCCCTACTGGAAGGGGTGACTCAAACGCCACAGGGTAGGGGGTGATTTCACTGCTCCAGTAGTCTCAGCTTAACCTTCACACTGGATCACATCATGCCAGAAACAAGTGATTTCAAGGACGAGAAACCCTATAAATGGGAATCCCTTCTTCTCCACTAATACCAAGAAACTAAATCACTCTGGTATTCTGCAAAGTCCATTATGGTCACAGCTGATAACAGAGCAGATAACTGAGGACCCCAGCCAGGTGGACACACCTGGTGTGACCTGCAGAGAGACAGTTTTCTCTCTGACCTTGGAGGAATCTAGTTGCTGTTCTCTAAGGATCTAAGGAACGGGATGACTTTATGGCCAGCAGCTGTCCTTTTACTATCCAATTAACAGTCTTTAATAGTCTGGGAGAGGGACATGAAGGGCCCAAGGCAGGAAGCTTCCTGTTTACCCTGAGGTCTAACAATGCTGCAGCTGGGTTGGGCGCCTACAATTTCAGAGAAAAGTCATTTCCTTCTGAGACCCAGCTAAAGCAGAAACCAGACGCTACATGTACCTAGAAGTAGATTCTTTTTGTTCTTTAATGGAGGTGGGAGGAGAGGGAGTGTTTGACATGTCTTTACCAGTCCCCTTGGAAAGAAAAAATCACTTATTTTCTTGAACAGACCCTTTCACCTTCATCTAAAAATGTATTGTGTGCAGGCTTAAGGGATTTGAAATTGGTTTTTTCAGCAATTGTTTATTAATGCCTAGTTTAGGGGAATAAAGATGACTCGCCATGTCTCCTGTCCTCAAATAGTTGTCTAATAAGAGTTTTTATAAGAAACAAAGGAACATTAATCAAGAAAAAAACCTTGATAAATTCTGGGGAATGAAGAGATACTTGAACTTCTTGCTCTGTATCTCTCTACTTGGACTTTTTGTGATGAGGATGAATGAAAGTTTTACTTGTATGCTTAGGAAAAGTGTGGTACAGAATGAGTACTTTGTAAATTCACATGAGGTGGAGATCCCTTCTCCAGCTTGGAATATTTGAAAAAAAGTTCGTACCTTGAAGGACGGGTAGGATTTGAAAGTTAAGGGCAGGGAATGAGTATAGGAGGCAGGAAACGGAACAGGACAGGGAGAGCTCAGTTTGAGTGGAAGTGAGGTATTATCATTATTGAGACCTAAGCAAGCCTTGAAATCAGCCCCAGGCCCAGCTCCCCTTGTACTAACTGTGTAAAGGTGAGCTAGATACTGAATCTCTAAGCCTCCCATTTACTCATCTGTAAAATGTGGATAATGCTGTCTACCTCACAGATACGAATAATAACTATCTATCTCATAGGGTTGTGCAAATTAAACGAAAAGTGTTTAGAGTAGTACTGACAAAGGCACAACGGGATTTTGGACATGTTGAGTTTACAGTGCCATCAGCACGTTCACATGCCAGGATATGTGGCGCTGGAGACAAGGAGAGCGGCCAGGGAGCCATCCACACAGACATGATCATTACAGCAGCCATGATATTGGGTGCGATTATCAAAAGGAAAAGTGTAGAGAGACAAGGAAGGCCTGTAAGACCTTGGGCAACTGAGTCAACTTCTCTAAACCTGTTTTCTCATCTCTAAAATGGGAGTGATAGCACCTACTACACAGAGTAGTTACGGGGATTAAATGAGTCACTAGATAAAGCACTAGCATAGTACCTGGCACATAGTAAAAACTTCATAAATGATAGCTATTTACCATCATCATCATCATCACCATCATCATCATCACTGTCATTAAGGGACCATAAACAGTATGGGGGAAAAGAGAGTTTCAAGAAGAAAGAAATGGTTACCAGGGTCATATGCTGTTAAGGTTAAGGAAAGGATGATAAAAGCTATTGAATTTAGGGAGTATGGGTATCATTTAGGAGAGATTAACTGCTATAATGGGCAACTCTCAAAACTCCGTGGCTTAATAATAAATGTTTCTTTCTTGCTTACATCATGAACTGTAGTACAGGACTGGGGAGGGATGCCTGTTCCACCCAGTCATTTGGGACCCTGGCTTCTTCCATTTTGTGACTCTGCCCTCCTCTGGATACTCAGAGTCCTCTGCTTTCAGAGAGGTTTTGAGGGGCCAGACCTGGAAGAATTGTACATTACTTTCACTTTCATACCATTGGCTAGAACTCAGTCATATGGTCACATCTAACTGCAAGAGAGGTTGAGAAGCAGAGTTGTCAGATAAAACACAGGATGCTCAGTTAAGTTAGAATTTTAGGTAAATGACATATTTTTTCAGTATAGTTATGTTACAAATATTGCATGGAACATGACTTATACTAAGAAATTCTTCATTGTTTATCTGAAATTCAAATTTAATTGGGCACCTGTATTTTTATTTGCTAAACTGGCAACCCTAGTGAGAAGGGAAGTCTGACTACAGCTTTAGGAAGAGGAGAGCACAAATATTTGTGTGTCACAGTCTGCCTCAATCTCTGTCTGAGTCAAGTATCTGTTCCTGTCCTCACAGAGAGAACACACTCACTCCGTCCCAAGGGAGATAACCCCAATCCCATGTAGTCATTATATTCAGCTCCAAGGATCTCAAGTCAGTTTCAAATTTGGTTCCTCATGGTGATTATGAAATAAAAAGCCAAGCTATCCATACCCCACAAACAAAATATATAATGATACAGCAAGAATAGGGTAACCTCGATACAAACTCCCATTTAGAAAAGGAAAACATGGAAGATGTATAACAGTAACTTGTTCCAAAGCCTTTCTGAATCCCTAATGGTCAGAAATGTCAAAGCCCTCTTCCTGGCGGGAGAAATTTCCTTTATTAACTTTGATTTATTCTAGGAGGGACTCCTTTGTTCATTGTTCTCACAGCTCCTGGCTATGCTCCCTGGCTTGTTTATCCTTCACAGGTACATATTAGATGGGCTTTGGGGAGTATGACCTCTTTGGAGAATGCTTAGCTCTCATAGCCCACTCACTGCTGGTGCAGTAAAAGTTATTTTAAATCTTGGCCAGCCAAATGTCTGTGTACGTGTGTAGTGGGTGAGGGGGTAAGACATACATAACATTAAATGTATCATTGTCACCATTTTTAAGTATAAAGTTTTGTGGTATTAACTATGTCCACATTGTTGTGCAACAGTCATCACTTCAGGGTTCATCTATATTGTAGCATGTGTCAGAATTTCCTTTCCTTTTTAATGTTGAATAATACTCCGTTGTATGTATACACCACATTTTGTTTATCCATTTATCAGTTGATTGGATATACTTGGATAACTTATACCTTTTCACTATTATGAATAATGCTGCTATGAATATTGGTATACAAATATCTGTTAAATCCATGTTTTCAGTTCTTTTGGGTATATGCCCAGAATTATATATTGCTAGATCATATGTTAATTCTGTGTTGTTGTTTTTTTAAGAAATTGCCATACTGTTTTCCACAGCAGTTGCACCACTTTATATTCCCACTAGCAAAGCACAAGGGTCCAGATTTTTCCACATCTTCACCAACACTTGTTATTTTCCTTTTTTCTCTCTCTCTCTTTTTTTTTAATACGAGCCATCCTAGTGGGTGTGAAGTGGTATCTCACTGCGGTTTTGATTTGCATTTCCCTAATGATTAGTGATGTGGAGGATTTTTTTCATGTGCTTATTGGTCATTGCCCTTTTTTTTTTTCCGGAGGTGGGAAGTAATTAGGTTTTACTTATTTATTTAATTTTTAGAGGAGGTACTGGGGATTGAACCCAGG